CTCGCCGTCCAGATCGACTTCCTGAACATCAATCACCCCGCTTCAGAGGTAGTTCTTCTCGGTGATTTCAATGCCCATAATGAGCTTTCGTTGGGCTCAAATAAGACCGATGCAGCAGGCCGTGCAGTCGAAGCGTTCGCTCTTACTCAAGGGCTGACCTAGCTGGTGACGAGCCCTACTTTTTTCCCCCGCGTCTCGTCACACGCCAGTAGCCTGCTGGATCTCTTTCTGACCACGCATCCTGCCCCTTACAGCTCTGCTGTCCTGTCCCCCCTGGGTAACTCAGATCACGGTGTTGTGGAGGTTAGGTTTCGGTCAGAAGCCGCTGTGGCAGCAGAAACTCGCACAGGCCGCAAAACTTGGCATTACGGACATGCCGACTGGGAGGGGCTCAGAGACTTCTTCTCTAGCTTTCCTTGGAGAGATGTCTGTTTCACTGACGCGGATGCGTCGACTGTCTGTTCTTCAATAACCGAAATTATCCACATCGGAATGGAGGAATACATCCCTCGCACAGTGAAAGTTCCGAAACCAGGGTCCAACGGCTGGTTCAACACATCGTGTGACACTGCTCGCCAGCAGAAGATCAAGGCCCACAGAACCTACTTACAAAACCCCACTGTAGAGAACAGGCAAGCCGACGTCGAGTCCAGAAACAAATATAACGAAGCGGTTCGCAATGCCAAAAACCAGCATGATATAAAAGTTAGGCACAGGGTAATGTCGCAGCGCAATGGCAGTCGGTCTTTCTGGACGCTGGCCAAGCAGATTGAAAATAACTTCTCACACAGTAGCCTTCCACCACTTACGTGTCAGGATGGAACTATTGTATTCGACTCAAAGGCCAAGGCGGAAGGGCTAGCCAAGATCTTTGCAGCCAACTCCACCATGGACGTCCCCACCAACGCCCAAGCACCGTCAATTCAAAGGTTTCCCCACACTATGCAGGAGGTAACATTCAGACATAAGACCGTAAGACGAGTGCTCTTGTCGCTCGACATCAACAAAGCTTCTGGTCCGGACCTGATTCCTGCCATTGTACTGAAGAGATGTGCAGCGGAGCTTGCTCCAGTTCTTTCGCGTCTCTTCCAGATATCTTATGAATCCGGCACCTTTCCAGAAAACTGGAAATTTGCTCATGTACAGCCCATCCCAAAAAAGGATCTAAAACCGACCCCTACAACTACAGGCCTATAGCTCTGCTTTCTGTTATAAGTAAAGTGATGGAGAGGTGCATAAATCGCGAGCTTCTGGACTACCTCGAACGTCACAGCTTGATTAGCGACAAGCAGTACGGTTTCCGGCACCAACGATCCACAGGGGACCTCCTAGCTTACGTCACGCAACTGTGGAGTAAGCTCATCCAGTCTCATGGTGAGGCTCATGTCGTTGCTCTTGACATCACGAAAGCGTTCGATCAGCTGTGGCACGCTGCCCTCTTAAGCAAACTTCCATCCTACGGCTTCCCAGAAAAGCTTTGCAGATGGGTGGCTGACTTTATCTCTGGCCGCAAGATATCCGTCGTAATTGACGGATTCTCCTCTTCATCCCACAACGTCAACGCGGGTATTCCCCAGGGATCGGTCTTGGCTCCAACACTGTTTCTCTTACATATCAACGACCTCCTTTCCTGCACGATCAACCCAATCCACAGCTTCGCTGATGACAGCACTCTACATGCAGGAATTCAGAGTGACAAGCCGATCTCTGCCGCTGAGCTGGAAAAAAGAAGACTAGCGACGACTTCTTCTCTGACAAGAGACCTGGAGGCTATCACTGCTTGGGGACGCAACAATCTTGTACAGTTCAATGCTTCCAAAACACAGTATTGTACTTTGACGAACAAAAAGCGTCCTAGCGCTCATACAGTTTCGATGGACGGTCGAGTTCTACCAAAGAGCCATTCATTTCGGCTGGTCGGAGTCCAGATCACCGAGGACCTGATCTGGCACGAACACATCTCTTCAATAGCTGCAGCTGCTGGGAAAAAGCTAGGCTATTTGTTTAGGGCTAAGAAGTACTTTTCTCACTCTATACAAGGCCCAGATAAGGCCTATCCTCGAGTATTGCTCACACATTTGGGGTGCTGCCGCCCCGACTATATTGTCCATGCTCGATGCTGTCCAGAGGAGGGCGGTCCGACTGATCGATGACTCTTCTCTAACAGACAGTCTCGGGACTCTTTCGCACCGGCGGGCCGTCGGCGATCTAGCTCTTTTCTATCGCTACACCAACAGGCTTTGCTCCTCAGAGCTCTCATCCATGATGCCGCCGCGCGATGTGCCTGCCAGACAGACCCGCCTGACTTCGGCGTCCCATCCTAACCGTGTCAAACTTCGTACATCCAGAACTGGCCGATACGACCGCTCCTTTGTCCCGAGGGTGTCTAGATTGTGGAACAATCTACGGGAGGAAGCTTTTCCCAGTTCTACTAACGTTAGGAAGTTCAAAAATCGTATTAACAAAATTTCTTTGGGATCATCATAGCAGCCGCGGTGTTCCGGCATTTAGGCTTCTGCCTGCGCGGCTGTTTCGATATAAAAAAAAAAAAAACTGATAACGACGTTGCGTGGGACGTCCAGAGTCAACCTACCGGACGCCATTTTTTTATATATCATGGCTTGATATACGTCCGTTTGTCGACTGTCCAACGACTCATATTTGACTGGGAATCTGCAACATTCTATTGTTAACGGGATGGAGTACTCCCTAACCAAGCAATGATGATTTTTGAAAAACTGTTGGCATCCGTTTTACAGGGCTGATGCATTTTCGGCTCGCTTTTCCACATGCGAGTTGGAAAACTGAAACATTTGAAATTAGTACATTGAAAAAATGTAATCAAGTAAGTTCACTCTACTTTTTTGTGAATCATGATGATTACTATAAATATGTATCTAGTAATTTATTTTATGTAATAGCAATAGCTTTTGCAGCACACACCAGATAATGATTTTTTATCGGCAAATATTTGATACCATGGGAAACAATTCGATCATGTTTCAGTCAATTTACACCAGGGGCGGATCTAGAAAACATTTTTGGGGAGGGTCCATCTTATAAATTAAAAAAAAAGTTGGGGGATGGTAGGAGGGTGGGGGCTCAGAATTTGCGACCAAATATTTCAAGTCTTGAGGGCTAACGTGAAATATTTCTGATAGATGCGTATAATTACCGGAGCTAGAAGCTTATAACGTCAAAAATGAAGATATTTCCTCCTGGACCTCCTATAACCCTCAACCTCGCATTTTTAACCCTCGCGAAAAATATTCCTATAGTGATCAAGAGCCTGTCATATAACACCCCAAATATCTATGAAAATATCGCATTTTAGAAATATTTTGCGATTAAAATACTTCCTCGCCAGTGGCGTAGGTAGTAAAAACTTTCAAGTGTTATTTCCCGCCGAACGAATCAGTCACTAGAATATGCTTTTTCGACAGAGGTAGAGTGACATTCTGGGGTCAAGGTGTGAAAGATTATTATATTACGGCACAGCTTTGGTGCCAGATTTCTATTTTGTACTTCATTCATGAAAAAAGTCTAACAAATACTTTTTGGAAACAAAATTTGATATTTTGTCGAATTCACAATTTAGGAAAATACCCCCATTATTCCGTCGAAAAGTACCATTCGTATTTTTGATGAAATTGTTTGTCTATTATCTTTCGCTATGATAGAGGTAATGAAAAATGTATGCAGTTTTTTAAAATCCAAGCGGGCGTACGACTAAATGAATTTACTCGTATTTGCAGTCACGCTTTAAGTTGACATGCTGAAGTCAGAATCATAGCTGTATTGCTTTTATTACAATTTGTTGCTGATCAGTAACATATTCATATTTGCATAGTTCACAATAACAAGAGAACAAATAGCTTCTGTATCATTATCACCACAATTATAGCTGGGTATGCAAATACTTATCGTTTCGAGGTATCTAATGTGTACTAAATTATAATGCGCAATTTGCTATATTATACTGCGTCTCATTACTTTTCAGCTGGTGGGTAACTAATTTTAAGTACACAGTTACACGACTAAACATCGTTTAAATTTCACACATGAGTATTTCTGATTTTGTGGTCACAATGGAAATCCTTAACATCAAAACATCATATGCAGATAATACCGTTTTTGGTAACTGAACTCGAGAATAGTCAAAGGACCAAAATTTAATCCAAAGCGATAGAAATATTCAGCAAAATGGACTCGTATTAAATTTGTGTATTCTTTTATTTAAACTTTTGCTTTTCGGGCCGCGAACATGTCAATCAAGCGGAAATTCGGGGAGATAAAATTGATGCATAGATTTATTTTAACATAAAAATTACAATTTAATATTCCCGTATGGCGGTTGGGCGTCATCTTTGAACATTTTTTTAATAAAATGAGGGGTGACGTGATACCTCATTTACCCAATTTTGGCAGGCTGTCAAAATTGAGCGTTTTTGTAAATAGAGTCCCTTATGACTCAAGAACTAAACAACACATTATAATATGCCATGTCAATCTTTTTCTTACGGAACTTTAACAGCTGCCAGTCCGCCATTCTGAAAGATTGTGGTTTTGTATTCTAGCGTTATAAGGTACTCATAAGAAACTTTGAAATGAGGTATCGCATGATTCCGCTTCCTTCCAAAATGACGCGTCTTAATCTTTCAAATGCCACTTTACGCTAAAATATACATCAATTTCAGCCCCGAATTTCACCTTAAAAGATAAGTAGTAGGGGGGCTTATTGAAAAGCACTATCGAAGTAAGAAAACACAACACAAGTGCCGTCTATAGCCAGCATCAGAATCGGCGACATCTAGCTAGCGGCCACAGTGGTGACCCGGCTGACAATGCGTACTGGGATTATCCAATCGAGAGATTGCTTTTTCACTTGCACAGAGGCTGATCCTGGTAATAGATGGCACTTTATACTGTCTCATTTCGATAGACCTTATACTCTGGTTAGAGGATAGTTGCTCAGCTTTCATTCGTTGTCCTACCTTAGACCAAGCCTAGACCATGCTGAAGAGTTCCCAAATACCACGAAACAGCTGTCCATGGTTGGCCGTATGTGGTTAGATGAACGAGAGCTGTATTACTAGAAAAGCACTACGTTTTATGTTCAGTGTGCTTGTCATCGATTTGAAGTAAGAATTTCTGCGACCACTTATGTAAAAATAGTTAAATATTCGACAATGGCAAAACTGCCAAAAAAACTTCTGCATCTAAATAATAGTCAGGTACTAAAATGAGATGAAAAATGTATACGTTTTTAAATAAAAAACTTCAGCAGACTTCAGTTATTTTCAAGCAGCCCTGATCCTTTGTTGCAATGGAAACGTATGTTTATTGACGGTTTTGGTACTATAAATATATGATTTGAAAAATGTATGGGTGTAAATACACGTATGGCAAGTTCGGTAAATAAAGAAAAGGGAAACCCTTATCTAATCAGTCGCATATGTGTGTTGATAGAATGTGCAGTGAAACGTACTTCGTGGTTCTCCAAAGCGCTGAAGCATGAGGATTCACAATGGGGAAGAATGCTAGTAAATTGAAGAAAAAATCTAGTATAAATAGTAAGTAGTTCTATAGCTATTTGTTTAAGCTGAATTGATTTTACTCTCGAATTCTTTTATCGTGCTCCTATGCATTTTTCGCAGCATCAAAACCAAATTTGATATAGCGCAACTATTATAAAATTTTGTTTTGTATAAAAAAATATTTTTGGCCCTAAGTTTCATTTACGTATTCAAATACTCAAGATAATTTTCTCTAAAGTATTTTTATATCTTCAACTATTTTGGAAATTAGGTAAAAATATTGCTTGGCAAAATACTCTTGTTTACATTGCTTAGAAAAATTTTTGAAAATACTTTTTTATGTGACGCCTTACGGATAAATATTGTAGGTATATCTTCAATAGTTATGTTATTTATTGGTTATATTTATAACTTAATCATCCTTTTTTACATATGTCTATCTTATTTATCTTATTTACTATTGATGTTCTTAGTGACATCGATACAAGGTTGTGTCTATGGATGGTAACGAATATATTAATTTTCAATGAGGTTGTATTTTATATATTTAAAAAAGTATTTTGAGATCTCGAAATAAAGAACATGTTATCATTGCCACGTATTCTCCTCTCTCACTTCGATGTTTCTTCTTTCGACTTCCATTACCAACTTTGTATTTTCATATGGTCGCTATATTGGAATTTTGTCCATTTAAATGGACTTTTCAGTCCTAAGTACAGTGTGATGTATTTTCTTCGTTGGCCATGAATTTGTTGTCGGAGCGAAAATTATAAGAAAATAAAGAGGTATGCGGGAACCTGAACACAAAATGGAATTTTTATTGAGGGTAATAACAATAATAATCATAAATAAGCAGAGATAAATCATATCAGACGTTCAAAATGTTGTCCGATACCTTGTGAGCAAAGTCTAACTTTTCTCTGTACATTGTTCACTGTTCTATTATCTTCCTTCTTCTCAGTCTTCCAAACTCTGTTACTATGTTCAATGTGAGGTCTGGTCTGGTATACGAAACAAATGACTATGGTAATTTCAATGCTTACCTAGGAAATTCTGTTTTTCTAAAATAACTAAAGTTTTCCAATATTAATGACATATGATAAATTTTTGAAATACGAATTAAAGTTTATTCATGTGCGCAAAAATCCAAAATCGCGTCCGTAAGCAAAAATGATGAAGATGCTGGAGGATAAGAGACGAAACGTCATATTGAAATTCTAAGTATGCCATCTTATACAGGAGAAAAAGTGGCAATGTTAATGTGCAATTTATTTTAACATCCCACTACAAATTAAGTCAGGAAAAAATTGAAACGATATTGTGAAAAATCGGTTTTTTCTGCCTCTCTCAGAAAGTAATTTGAATTTGGAAACTTTCTAGGCGGCAGTTATCTGAATATGCATTTTTGCATCTATTTAAGCGACTTCGTATCTCTTAGCGTCTCCGAAATTCCAATTTGAAACACCCGATATGATTAATAATATCAAAAATGTTGACAATTTCAAAAATCATGTTATTAAGTGCACCTCTCTCTCTATGGTAATTTTGTCACAGCATTTGCTGTACTTAAATATTTTGGAGTGTATGCTATGGGCATGTAGTAGATATTGCACCCTTTGCTTTTGAGAATTAAGAACAATACCAGTGATGTCTTTTAAGTTTTGCATATGGAAATAAAACAACACGGTAGGTGGTTTTAAATGACTTAATTGCTTTTCGAAGTATTCTCCACGAAGATTAATACACATCTGCATGCGCTCGAACCAATTTTCGAAGCAGTTATTCCACTCGTTTTCTGGAAGATCCAAAATGGCATTTTTGAATGCGTCAACTGCTTCTTCTGGTGACCGCAATATTTGACCACGCAGTCTGTTTTTAATTTTCGGGAAAGTAAAGAAATCGTTAGGACTTAGATCGGGATCATATGGAGGATGGTCCAATAATTCCACGTTTTCTTCCATTAAATACAGCCTTGTTTTTCGGGCTGTTTGCGAGCTGGCATTGTCTTGGTGGAGGATGACTCTTTTTTCGGGGTTGATTTTTCGAAGCTCGGTGATGACTTTTGGCAAACAAATGGTGGTATACCAATCCACAGTAACAGTGCTTTGCTCATTAAGAGGAATTGTTGCAATAAGACCCGCTTTTGACACAAATGTCGCGACCATCTTTTTCGAACCACTTCGAGAACGGATGACTTTTGTTGGCTTTTCTTCAGCTTGGAACACCCAAACAGCCGACTCTAGTTTATTTTCTGGTTCATAACATGTCTATCTTCAATGATGAGTTTGCGCACAGCATCGACGTTTTCCTGGGTGACTGTCGTTTTTGGTGCACCCACCCTGGAATCGTCTCTCAGACTCACCCGTTCACGTTTGAATCCTCCATACCAATGGGTAATTGTAGACTGATGTGTCGCTTCGTTGCCGAAATCAGACAGTAACTCAGCAAGGCATTCTTGTTGCGATAATCGTCTCTGAAAGTTGTAATAAATTATGGCGCGAAAATGTTCTCGGTTGAGTTCCATTTTTCTAATGACTTGGTGACACTTAAAAATTTACTGTAGTGAGAACACTGCACGGATTGTTGTGAAACTTTGAGTTTAAGTTTACTAAAGAGTGAGGTTAAGATTCAGTACTGACGTTCGATCCGCGCGGCCTACTATGTTTCTATATGCAAAACTTAAAAGACATCCCTCGTAATAACTACGCCTCTATTTGTGGCAAAAGAGGCACAAAAGGACGAAGATTAGTTGTATCGACTATTTTACAACTTGACCCTAGAAATATGATAAATAAATGTTTTAAAAGAATACCTAAAGATCATAGAAGTGAAATATATACGTGCACATTGCCAGATCCACCTTATAAAGAAACATATTTCACACCACTAAGATATTCAAACAGTAAACAGGAAAACCTTCAAACATAAGTACTTTTAGGTTAAAAGTAAGATAGAAAATTAATACACGACACATTAGACTGAACATTTAAAGAAAACATTTTTGGCTCAACATTTTAATTTGATAAGAGGTAGTCCTTTCAAGCTGTTATCCCTACTGTTTTGCACCGTTGAAAGAAAAACTACGTTGGTACCCGTTATTTTCGTACATACATCATGTTTTACAAATCTCAGATTGACTTTGTGAACATTCTGGATGCTTAGATTATATTTCGTATTGAAACTTAAAGTTCGTTTTTTTAAGGATGATCAATACAATAATTGCAACAAACGCTTCAAAAAGCTGAACGCGAATTAAGTAACATTATTTATATAGTAGGAGTGAACCTTTTATCATAACGCCATGGATACCATATCTAATCTAAAGCTAAAGAAAAATAATCAATGCACCTATCTAATATTGCACAGCATTAGGCAATATTGGTTCAGTTTGAACAATATATCGTATGTTGAAACTGTAATTAGCATGTTTAATAACGATGATGGTAAGAATGTGACAGTACTACTCACAAATACTGCACAGTTTTATCACTCCACATAAAATAACTCTTAGTTGAAGAGAAGATAATAATAATAATAATAATAATAGTAATAATAATAATAATAATAAAATGAATTCATTGGTAATCTTCCACATCATGGCGACATTTAGCTTGACGTCTATTCTTCAACTTAACTACAATATGGATGAAACATAGCAAAATTTTACACATGCAACAGAACAACTAGACAACAGTTATAAAATAATACTATTTACAACCATAGCAAGCCACGTAAAATATCTTTGGTACAATGAAGTATGGTGAAGAGAAATATCGAACTGGTCATTATGACGTAATCATGTTCCAGATTCGTAAAACAAGAAATATAGACGAAATAAAGTCGGTCTAAAAACAACATGTAAATATCTTATCAACATGGGTTCTAAAATGTAAAGGGCAAAAATGGATCTGACAATGCCCCGTTTTAGAGACATTGGCAAGAATTCTAATCAATAAAACGTATCATAAAAATTGGATGAATTCTTATACCGAATGATATATCCCATAATTAATACATTAATCTACTTGACCTAGCACTCTCAGAATGTGAGAATCATAACGCATCATTTTTTTCATCGAGATACAAATACAACACAGTTTTATGACTCCACAGAAATACCCCTTGATTGAACCAGACATGACATGACATGTTCCAGATCCAAAAAAAGAAAACACAAGCAATATTTCTATGAAATAAAATAGGTAAAAACAACATAGAAAGTTCTTATAAACATGGTTCCTAAAAAACAAACGGTCAAAAATAGATTCGAATCCGACGATTCCAACAATATTCCGTTTCCTAGATGTTGGCAAGAATTCTTGTTATCAAAACGTATCATAATAAATGATAAATGTTTGCTCCAAATCTAGCACCTGATCACTTTAGAATCCATTACGACCATGTTCTAATTCAACGACTCAAATTCCCTAATTACACCAAGCTTTGTTCACATTATATTCCGTTACCAAGGAATTACCCAGGGCCGTATGCTCCGCTGTTCGATTTTCGTCCGCCGGTGCGCATGACGTCACGCGGAGAGTGATTATCATTTGGGTTGATATGGAAAACATGAGCAATTTTATGATGCTATCTTGTCATCGCACGTCCTATTTGATAAGAATTTAGTTATAACAGGAGGTTTCAACATAGCTAACTACACTTCTGTTAATAGTCATGGACGCAACGCAAAATTGGTATCGTTGAACAACCCTTGATTTAGTTTTCTGTAGTGGTCTGTGTGAGGTTGAACATTCGTGAGATCCGCTAGATGAAGACCCATATCACCCTGCCCTGAATATGTGTTGTAATGTCAACAGCAGTCTCAATACTAAGCATAATTTTCCTGTTTCATTTATAAATTCTTATAATTTCCGCAAAGCCAACTTCCCCCAATTATATAATTTAATTTCAGACATGGATTGGGCTGCTTTAGATGGCTTTCATGACGCGAATGAAGCGTGTGCACCCTACGCGCCAGCAAGTACCGCCTCCAACAGAATACCAAGCCGTCAGACATGATATATTTTTCCCATAACTCATATTATATCAATCTACTTGACCTAACACTCCCTAGACTCAGAATACATGAATCATAAGACATCGTTTATTTGCACTAGCCAGGAAGACTAGAGATAGATAGGAGGTTAAACTGCGAAAGGGATAGATGTATAAAGCAAATCCTGTCACCAAGGATGGTGTAGCTCTCGAAAGTCTAGTGGACGTGAAACATGCCGCAAAGCGTCTGCGCATTCGAAAAATGTCAATATAACCTACCTCAATCTTTATGTGCATTTCACTCAGGTTTTATCATTCTTTGTAGGTTTATTTATTTGTGGTTTATTAATATTATAAAATATTTCCGCTTGCAGCTCGATCGAACTATCAAAATTGGCGTTGTTTACAGTCATGATGACAGCAACAGAGAGAGATGGTACATGCGCAGAACATGAAATTCATTTTCTCCGCAGTGTACACACGAGAAATATGTCCCTTGCGCAGCATCTGATATTCATTTGCTGCGCAGTGTACCTCATCGTCGACGTTTCTGGCTTCACCCCTCTCCATGAGTTTGACCTCATATATCTAGTCTTCAAGGCACTAACCCTCAAAAGAAACGATGACATTAGCTTCCAGAACTCAGCTAAATTGTGTGAAACATAAATGTATACTGAGTGACAAAAAAAGCTAAGCACGTACGTATGTTTATCCGATTATAATAATTTTTGGAATATATGTTTAGTGTGCCTTGCTAGTAAAAAGATAAAATTTACAGCTTGATTCGTCAACTGACTGCAAAATCTGGTTCAATAATGTGTTGAGGATCCACGATTTCTTATACACTCATGGTGGTCGATAACCTGTTGGGGTATCTCATTCCAGGCTACTGCAAATTAGTGTTTAAGGGCTGCTAAAGTACGTGAAGGGTGTTGCAAATGCGACCTGTCATTTCCCAGACATGTTCAATTGGAGATAGGTCAGGCGATCGTGGTGGCCAAGGTGAACGGTTGATGCGATGTTGATCCATGAAGGCTAACGATGGTCTGGGAACATGCGGTCTGGCATTGTCTTGCTGAAAAATCGGGTTTTGGATGGTATTTAGGTATGAATAAGATGAGGCTCCACTACTTCCTGAATATAGCGACAGGCTGTAATATTGCCTCTGATGAAAATTAGTGGTGATCTGCTACCATAAGCAATAGCACCCCATACCATAACTCCCAAGGTGTGGTGAACGTGACGCTCTCTGTTAAATTGTGGGCTACGTCTTTCATCACGTCGTCTTCTCACTCTTGCCCGACCATCGTGCATCTCCAGACAGAAGCGGGATTCGTCACTAAAGCACCCAATGTGGGCGATGAGAAAAAAGGCCACACTATCGTATTCGGCGATATACCATACGCACATCAACCACTGATTAGCGATGACTCGAGTACTACTGAATCTGTCTCTGAGAGCCAGATGTCTTAACCGGTGGTCTTGTCGCTCTGTGGTCCCTCTGGGACGTCCAGAACCCCTCGCTCGCTATCCTCGGCCTTCCTGAGTCGACGCTCATTCACACTGAAGTATACTGCGTAAGGATCTGTTCGTCCTCCTAGAAACTTCTTTCATCGATAAACCGGCTTCACGCAACCCGACAATTCGACCCCTCTCAAAGTCACTTAGCTGGGACACCCGGCGAATTCTACGCACTCTAGACATTTTGAGCAATCACAAAAAGGCTTCTCAATAAGCTACACGAAATTTAACATTTGACTGACACCGTAAATGTAGGAAACTGAATGTTTCTTTATCACCAAACAATACACGCAGCCACCACAAAAACCTAACAGAAAAACCTGACCATTCTATCACTTGTTGATCATGGCAAGATAAATCGATGTATAAAAAATTCTTGTATTCTAATAAACATACGTAGGTGTTTACCTTTTTTTGTCACTCAGTATATATCACCTCAATTTGTACGAGAAAAACCTTGTCTTGATCCCGTGACCATCGACGTTAAGCCATATTCCCCTAGATATTCTATATCAATGATGCTTTCTCTTAAATTCTAGATTTGTCCTGGCCCCGCTTCGGTTCCCTCCCCTTGCGCGCCAGCAAGTACCGCCTCCAACATAATGCCACGCCCATCATCACCAAAGACAGCCTTCCAGCTCCGCCCAACAGTGCGCCGCCTACCGGTCATCGGGGCAAACACAAGGATATCGACGTATGGTTGCGCGACCTTGAACTGGAGGAGTACAAGGCGGCGTTCGAGAAGTTCTCTGGAGTGGAAGAATTATTGGAGCTGTCAGAGAGGGAAGTCAAGGAGTTGGGGGTGAAGAAAGCGTCGCACCGGGCAAGGATTGTCACAAGTTTAACGTGTCTGAGGGCTAAGTATCATGGTGAGTTGTAATGTTAGGGAATTGGGATGTGTTGAGAGTTAACATTTTTTTATAATTATAGGATTATTGTTATTCGTACGAGGCCTGACTTTTTATTTTATAATTTTTTTATTAAAATATGTATAATTACAATTTTATATTGTCACCCTCAAAATAACCTCCTTCTGAAGCCTCACAGCGCTGGAGATGGTTCTTTAGCTCCTCATAGCGATGTTGGAACTCCGATACTGGAATAGCGTTCAGCTGGTCGGTTACAGCCGGTTGAACGTCCCTTAAGCTGATTTTTCAACTTCGGTAAGAGAAGTAACAAGGACTCAAGTCAGGCGAATAAGAACGGTAGTGTGAGTCAAAATTAACTCTTTCCTGGTCGTTCTGACTGTCAACCGACGATATGAACGCACAAGATCCAGGATTCTGTCGATATTTTCATCGCTGCTTACAGATGAAGGACTTTTGTTCGTGGTTCATCTTCAATCGACTCTCGCCGTTCTGGAAATGCCTTAAACCACCGAAAAACCTGGGCTGTTGACAAAACACTATCTCCATATGACTGCTGAGTAAGAATTTTCGTTGCACTGTGCCTAAGTCTGAAGCAAAACTTGATAGCACACCGTTGCTAGTTTTAGAACACAATAGAAAAAACTGTTTCACAAAAAAAAATCGCTACGGACAGGAAATGACTCGAGCGAGCTCAAACTACTGAAGGCGGATCACATGTTCCCTTGTCTCCCCTCTATACCTGGCGTCTCCAGTGTTACCAGATCGAATGCTACGTTACCAGTCTCATCTCTTAATTTTACAGACCACGTAAGTCAATCTCAAATAATCAGCACACAACTAACCCAACCTGCTGGAAGGTTATAGCCATGTTGACTCCTGGAATTCTGATTGTATAGTTTCAGGGTCCCGCTGGACAAAATTACTTTTTAGCTAAAATTTAGGAGCGATTTTAGTGCTGACCGATGGGAAACAAAATTTGCGCCTTCGGTGCAAATGGACCAGTAAGTCGGCTTCTTTAAAGTAATGGATCTAATGAATTTTGTCGATCGATCGAAATTATACTCGACTTATTAAAGATAGACTCTTAATTATTCTCATATTAAATCAAAAAATACTTCATATATCAATAACATCATTCATCTACAAAAACCTATTTTTTCATTTATGTCCTGACACAAAAGTCTAAACAAATTCCGTCAATAAGAAAGGATTTGTGGCCTACTTGATACAAGAAATTGACATGTCGTCATTAATGAGCATTTATTGAAAATAATTGCAATTACTTAACTAACATCGAGTAAATCATCAATTTACTTACTGTTATCAGGAAGACTCTACTGAACGGTAAGTTGACTACACGACCACGAAGCGCCGCGGGGACGATGGCAAGGCTAGAATAGTTGTCCTACAGACAAGTAGAGGGCACGAGATATTTGTTTAATAATAAGCATACTGTAATTTTACGAGTATGTATGTCCTCAAAGAATTTATCAAGCAGAGCTTTGCACAGCGCAGTGAGACGTTGCTATTTTCAATATAATGCAAGTGGGATGGCTGTCTTATCAATCTAGATATTGCATCAGATTTGTGTCCATGGTTTTTCATAGGCGCATTATATGATATATTATTAGATTGTGGGGATTAACAGGTATTGGATAAATCAAATATGTTAAAAGACCCTATTTTATTTTCAGAAACCATTCCCAGAAAGGCCTCATCACGTCATAGTGTTGCTGTGGACAGTAGGCATAAGATACGCAGAGAAGATACCTTGTGAGTATTTCGACAATTATGTTAGTATAACGAGAGCTCTGATAGCTTAGACATTTCTATTCAGAAGGAACTACGCTTGAAATAACAAAGCCAAATGTAAAAAAGGAAAATTTGAAAAGTACTCACTATCTGATTTGAATCTTCAGGTACCGCCCTGCTTATAAATACCTACTGTTGAATATTGGCAGTTTCATACCATAGATTTCTTTTGGAACCGTCTCAAAGTATTAACGTGGGTGTTCCCTACGGATTGATCTTGGCTCCTCTTACCTACATATCAACGGCCTACTTTCCTGTACGATCAGTCGGATCCACAGCTTTGCTAAGGACATCACTCTCATCTCTGCAGGTGATCTGGAGAAAAGAAGACAATGACCGACTTCCCCTCTGACCGGAGATCTAGAGATTATCACTACTTGAGGATGCAACAATTTGGTACAGTTGAATGCTTCCAAAACACGGTACTGTGCGTTGACTAACATGAAGCGCCCTAGCGCTCATCCCGTTTCGATGGATGACCGAGTTCTGCCAAAGAGCCATTAATTTCGGCTGGTCAAGTCCAGATCACCGAGGACTTGAACAGCTGCCAGTAAAAGACAGGTTATTTGTTTAGGGCTAAGAAGTACTTTTCTCCGCACAACCTACTCACTCTGTACAAGGCCAGATAGCTCGAGTACTGCTCACAAGATTGGGATTCCACCGCCCCATACCCGATGCTTTTCAGAGGAAGGCTATTCGACAGATCAATGACACTTCTCTAACGGACAGCCGCGGGACTCTTTTGCAAAGACAAGCGGTCGGCGATCTTGCTCTCTTCTATCACTATGTTAAAAGGCTTTGTTTCTCAGAGCTCTCCTGCATGATCCCGATGTTCGTTGAACCTGCAAAACGGACCCGCCAGGCTATCTCCTATCCCAACTCTATCGAACTTCACCCATCGGGAACTGGCCGGTACGACCGTTCATTCATTCTTAGGGCGTCTAGATTGTGGAACGGTCTACCTGAGGAGGTTTTTTGCATGTCTGCTAACATTAGGTAGTTCAAAAGTCGGATTAATAAAGTTTCTTCAAGTTCCTTATAGCAGTCGCGGTGCCCCGGTATTTACAGGTGTCCCAACCGTGCAAGGACAGAGTATTGCTCCTAAATAAAGTTTTTAGAGAAAACTCTTTAAGGATTATTATATATAGTATCTGGAGGAGCATATTTCTTCAGTATTCACAATTATAAAGGGTGTCCCAATTTTGACCCGCATATCAAAGTTGATTGTTCTCGAATGGTATGCCCTACTTTTTTATCACAGATTCAGGTAGGACCTTTTAAAAAACAAGATTGATATAACATACTTATGGTTGTTGTTGAATTAATGTAAAAGCACATTTTGCGTTTTTTATCATTCATTACATTCGAAAAATGGATGAAATAGGCTAAAACTGTGTGATTTTTTTTATACAAAATTCACTACTACAACTATCAAGACAGCAGGTGCTTAATCTGTCAAAATTTAATGTTTTTTTAGATAACATACCCAATAAGCTCAACAACTAATTATCATAAGTACGTTATACCAACCTCCCTTTCTAACAGGGTCTATTCGAATGTGTAAAAAAAGTGGGGCAACCCATTAAAAAAATCAACTTTAATGTGTACGTCAAAATTGGGACACCATGTATAATTGTGATTATTTTAGAAATATGTCTCTAAATACCATATACAGGGTGTCCGCAAAGTTGGGGTTTTCCTTTACACCACGTGTAGATCTTGAAAACATAAGCAATTTTTCTTAGTACCATATACACCAATGTCTTAAGGGAACCGAGATAAAGGGCTCTGCAACATCAATAATATCTGAATACCGTCCTGTAGCCGCGACCCGCGACATCACCGAGTGGTACAAGGTCACTGGCTCAACCCGACGACAGAACTGGGTCGGGGTCAGTGTGTCAGGTCAATAAGCAAACTTCAACCGACGGTTACGGTCACGCGTGTAGAGGTAAACGAACCCGTATAATCGATTGCGTTTCAAAAAAAAAATAATAATGGCACACTCATACACCAATAATGAACTCGTTGATATGTTGTTAATTTACGGCGAATGTCTTCAAAATGCTACAGAGGCTTCGCGAGTGTATGCAAATCGTTTCCCTAGACGACATCATCCAAGGCCCCGCAGATTTGTGTACCTGGTCCAGAGAGTCAGGGATACGGGTCATTTGGAGGAATTTCGAGGTGGGCACAGTGGTAGGCCTAGACAACCACGAATGGTGCAAGTTGAGGAAGAACTACTGAATCGCGTAGACGAGAATCCATCAACAAGCACTAGAGACGTGGCTAGAGAAGTGCAAGTATCAAAAACTAAAGTGTGGCAAACGCTGCGTGAAGAGGGGCTGTATCCGTTTCACGTCCAACGTGTACAAGACCTTCAACCTGACGATTTTCCAGCAAGAATGCGGTTTTGTGAGTGGTTGTTGCATCAACATGACAATAATCCGGACTTTTTGGAGTGCATATTGGTGACAGACGAATCTACGTTCACGCGTAATGGGGTGAATAACTTTCGCAACACTCATGTTTGGTCAGTAGAAAATCCGCACGCTGTCCGTCGGGCACATTTTCAACAAACATTTTCGGTGAATGTTTGGGCTGGCATGGTGAACGGTATGCTCATTGGACCATTTATTCTCCCAAATCGATTGGACGGGATGCAATATCTAGACTTTTTACGCAACATTTTGCCTTCCTTGTTAGAAGATGTGCCATTAAGTGTAAGACAATCAATGTGGTTTCTGCACGATGGTGCACCGCCCCATTTTAGACGCGAAGTGCGTGAGTTTTTGAATGAATTATTTCCGAATAGGTGGATCGGACGTAATGGACCCGTAGCATGGCCTGCGCGATCTCCAGACTTAACACCATGTGATTTTTTTCTTTGGGGAGAAATGAAACGCTTAGTGTACAAAACTGAAGTGCATACGGTTGACGAAGTTCGTCTCAGAATTGAACAAGCTGGTGCTTTCATTCGGGGGAGGGACTCCATTCTCAAAGCCTGCACCGATGCTTGGCTACGTCGTGCACGCACCTGAGTTTTTGAATCAAACGGCGATAACTTCGAACAATACCTATAAAGTACGTTTACCTAAAAACTGAAAACGCGGCAACGCCGTCATATTTGTTACCTCTGTTCGTGGTCTGCACCACCGCGTGCGTCTGCTCGGTAGCGCATCAGCTGATTTCATTTTCTGTTGGAGTGGTATGATTTCGGGCAGAGACGTACTTAGCCCTTCTCGTCAACTGGAGAGTGAGTACTTTTTCCTTTATTTTTTTTTACTTGGTCGCCCTCGTTTCACTACACATTACCTTTGTTATTTCAAGGGTAGTTGTTTCTGAAAAGGACAACCCCAACTTTGCGGACACCCTGTATATCAGTGACATTAGAAGTGTTACACCCAGAAAAAATAATTGCTACATCTTGATTTTTTTTGCTATTCTCACGAAATCTCTGATATTCCTCTACCTTCTTCTGTCCACACACGACACACACACATTACCGTCATTGTATTAACACGTATAATGCCACTGAGTTTATTATAATCCATAAATAGTCTTCTTTGAGTAGTTTTTGTTTGGCGGTAACACCCCGGCCCTGTGGGTTTCTGCTAACGCGACCGCTTCAGTATAAAAAAACAGTTAGTTTATTATTATGAGAACTTTACGCAATGTAGAGGAAAGTCCCGACTTCAAGAATACCCAGTTTGAATATTTTAAAGTTTTTTTATAGCAATCCATCCGCCAGGTTATAAAGATTTTTTCATCGTCACGTTGGCAAAAAACATGCAGCTTCGCCGGTCTATTAGAATGTTAAGCACGTGCTAGAGGAGTGGCAGCCATTAGTAAATTTGGCAAAAACCCATCGGCGATCTATCCAAAGTTGACACTTGCTTAATGAGGTCCAAGTCGTCGGGATAAAAGCCAAGCTTCAGCGTAGGAGAAAAGGGGAAGCGAACTGCATGAAGCAGCCGATCGTTCGTCGATAAGTGAACTTCCGGTTGCCGGAGACACCCGCAGGCGTCTCCATCGCAATTTCTGGAAAACCAATTAAGCGTGCAATTAAGAACATCAAGTGAAGAGCGACTGCCTGCCGTTATATAGCCTGGTGCAGGAATATTTGATGAGAGATGCTTGGAAAATGAAGTTTACTTGTTTATGCAACCCCAGGTGGATTTTGGCTGACTTCACAACTTACCTCCATCTGGTACAGTCTTCCATCACTGCTGGGTGACTAAGTTTTAGTCCATTTTTGCTAAGACTACCTTGATGTCCCTCCCATTTCATACGGGGGTGACTTGAAGGTCTTCCACCAGCTGGAGCTGGGGGCAAAAAATCGAAAAAAATAAAAATCGCTGAAACTTGTAATTGGGTGCTCACAGGAATTTTTCTCGAGAGGGTCGATAAGACATTGCAAGAGGAAACGTTTTGCATTCTACGATTATGTATTGGCCCTCATCTCAAATATAGCACACACAAAATACTAAACATGCAAATTTTGGGAGGAAGTTAGATTTTCAGGGAAGAGAACTCGGGAATGGAGACTAATTATTTGCACCTATTTGACTGACTTGATACATTTTATGAACTGATGGCAGGATTGCCTGGGGACTGTAGTGCCGTTTTTTCATGTGCGTAGCTAACTTTCTTCTAATAATCCCACTTTCGTTTTTGCAGGCACTAAAACAACATGTTACATTATATAAGCAAAAATACGAAAATCATGAAAATTATATTCTCTCGGACTATTAAGCTGAAAAACAGAAAGTCCGAAGGTACTACGATCTTTCTCATTATTTAAAGCCTCCCAAGGATAAATGCAGTCCGAACGTGTAATATACATTTTCAATCTGATCGGAGAAAATTACGGGTTGTCTCCGCTTTTTGTATTTTATGGGTTTTGAGTTGAGCAGGTGCGTTCAGTGGGCCATTCCATGCGATGTGGATAACCTCATTAT